AAAATTTAACCAAACCCAACAAAAACTTTCGCCCGTTACACACAATCTTTCGCTTCTACATTTGTCTTATCTTTTGTTGTTCTGAATAATCAAGGCAACTCCAAGATTGAGCGAAGATAAAGTGAAGCAATGCGTAGATCCCAAACTCAACAATGACTACCCACCAAAGGCTATTGCCAAGGTTAGTATCTATTAAACTTACTCATTTACATTCTACTTGTGCTGCAAATTTGAAAAAATTTTGACATAATTCTCCAAAATACCATAGTTAGCAGCAGTTGCAGCGCTGTGCGTTCAATATGAGGCAGATTTTCGACCAAACATGACTATTGTGGTGAAAGCTTTACAACCACTTATAACTCGAAACCGGCAGGGCTAGAGTCTCAAGCATAAACCCAGATATTTCTTGCCGAGGAAAATCAAGTCTCCACGACTGTTTAGAACTGGAACTGTACCTCTTTCTCCCTCAATTTTCCATAACCATGCCCCATAATTGGACACAATACTTCCTCCATGTGAGAAGCAATACTGTACTGTCTGGTAACTTTTTTGTAATCTTCCTTTTTGTCCTTTTCGAGCAGATCAACGAAGGAGATGGTCAACTTTGCGCTTGAGTCCTCTAGAGATGCTTGAGCATCTCATGTAGTTCTTTTGAAAGCTATAGAGATTGCTAGCTACTCCTCTAATTACATCCTCTGATACCAGTTTTACATATATATATATATATATAATTGAATTGAAAAACTGCCCTTGATCATGGCCAATATATTTCCAAATTACCCAGAAGTTTTACTATTTTATGTTTTTGAAAAAAAATTAAAACTCCTTGCTAAGATTGAAATTTGAATATATTGTCTAGAGTTTTATTTCGAAAGATGCATCGCGCTAATTTTTATTATTTAATATAAAAAAAGAAACGTATTAATTATTTAATTAAATATAAATTAATTTTTATTTATTTATTTACGTTATGCCAATTAATCTAATTTAAAATTTTCGTACTTGAGAAATTACGGTAAAAATTATATTTAATAAATTATTTCCTCGATTTTCATCAATAATTAGAAATTCATTATAAATAAAAACTTCAAAATTAATTCTCACATGAAATCATTACCTTTTTCTTATACAATGATAATCAAATAGTGCCCCGATTGATAATAATAATTAAGGACCAATACACCCTCGTACTTATTATAAATTGGAATGTGAATACTACAAACATTGAAAATATGTTTATATATATATATATATGCTAAAATTTATGGCTAAATATATATATATATAAATTTATATTTTTAGTATTTGAACCCTTTTTTTTTCCTATTTTTGGTATTAAATCTCACAACATTTAATTTAGAACTATTTATAAAATTTTGACAATTTAAATAATTGGTATGTATTTTGATATGATACTATAATTGTATTAATATGTTAACAACAATTTGAGCTACCCAATAAAGTTTATAAAGTGAAATTCTTACCAACTATTAATAAAAGTACGACACCAAATTAACTTATAATAATTAATTTATTCTGAAATTGGAATTTCATGTCACCCAATTTTTATGACATATCGTACATGCCATCATTAAAATTAATAATAATATTTAATCGAATGCTTTGAAATGTCAATTTTTCCCAATTTTATATACTTAGCCCAACATTTCAAAAAAAAAATTTAAATAATTAAATTTCTTTTTTCAATTACATGGCCTAAAATTTTTAGCCCAACCAAACCCTATGGGTTATAAAGTACATGTTTAAATTGGAATAATTGATACTTTTATGAATAAAAATAAATTTTAAATTATTATTATTTTTTTAATCCTAAATTCATATTCATATAAATAAATCTCTAATGGGTTAAAATACATACTTATAGTATTTAACGAGAATATCCTAACTTACTACGTTATCAACTAATTCGATATTCTGTCTGTAAAAAATTTGAATAAAATTCAAAAGATTTCTCGAATTCTACACTTTCAATGTCTGTTATTTTTTTTTTTTAAAAAAAAATTCATTAATTGAGTGAGATTTTTGAGATACCAAAAATCTTTATTCGTCTCAAAATGCATATAAAATAGTATCAACACTAACATAATATAATATCGATTTTATCTTACTCTATTTTGTTAATTTTTTTTTTTCTAAAACTGAAAAGAACACGTCGTCCCTCTTTTTAATAATATAGTCTAATCTCTTTATTTTTTTTTATTTTTCTTTTTAACGAGATATTAACACGGTACTTCGTACATTTGCGAGTTAAGTGACTCGTGACCTCCCTCTCGCCCCAAATATAATGGGATGAAGCAAATCGATAAGCTTTTATTTAATTAGGGTAAATAAATAATTGAAGGTAATTCTGAATTTTGGGGGTTGATGAGTAATATTAGAAAGTTGGGTGCCAAATCTGTAAAATTGAAGAGTTTTTTCTCAACCAAATGACAACACTGTTAGCCACATCATGACAACATTGTCATCCAACCAGACAATTAATTTCCAATAACATTTAATAAAATACTATTTTAAATATAAAAATTAATTATTTCTATCTCTAATATAAAAAGAAAATAACTATATATATAGTTGTACTAAAATTTTATATTTTTGTATAGTAATTATTTCGAGAATGATAATTTGTAAAATTAAATCGATACTATTTTAAAAAAAGATATGGATTTTCGTTATCAGATAAATAATATTTGTTTAGATCACGTATCAGACAATCAGATATGATAATAATTTTCGTAATTAATACATCTGCATATCTTGGTTTATAAACTAAGTCCTCTAATCCGACATTTTTAATTATCAAATGAATAAATAATATGAATTGATTTATATATAATACATCAAATTTGTTGGTAAATACATGAACGAGTGAGTTATTTAGAAATAACGTAAAAGGTAAAACTTTTTATTATCGATAAAATTTTTATAAATAATTAAATATTAAGATCACGAATAATTATTGATTATTTATTTATATGATATAATAAAATAAAATTAAAATTAAAAATAAATAAAATAATTAAAAACAAAGTCAAGGGTATTTTTGTAATTCAACATACAAGACAAAAATAAAATCTGTAAAATTTTAATCTTCATAAAAGAAAATCTACTCTTTTTTTTTTTTTTTTTTAAGTTCATTGAGAATCATGAACTTTATTTGGAAAGAAATTCAAGTTAATTTGGTACAAAATTAAATAATTTATTTAATATTTTAAATTATAAAACTTATCTCGCAATACTTTTAATCTCAGTTAAAAAAAACTCAAAAAAGGTATGTCATCTAGCGGCATGCGTTCAACTTAAAAATTACGACGTTAATTTGAATCGATCAGGTAAGAGTTCGTTTTTATTTTTATTTTTTTTAAAATTTTTTTTTATCGTTTAAAATTAAACTAAAAATAATGTCAATAAGGTTTTCGGATTAGGGTTTTTAAAAATAATTTTAATTTATTTTTTTTTTTATATTTTAAAAATAAATTAATGGTTTAAAAAAGAAAAAGAAAAAGAAAAAGAAAAAGAAAAATCAAATTTCACAATAATTTTGAAGACAATAAATAATATATATATATTTTTTTCAGTTATTTATTTATTTTTAAATAATTTATATTTAATATTAATATTAATATTAATATTAATAAATAATTATACTTATACTTACCCTCGTGTTAAAATTTCTACGTATAAATACACACCAAGCGTCTCTTCTCTCTCTCATCTCTGTTTGTCTCTCCATTTTAACCGTGATGCCCAGAGCTGCGAAGCCAAGCCTCATATCCTTCTCTCTCTCTCTCTACAAATATATACGCAGCACCAAATCTCATCGTCATCAACCCAAAACCCCCTCATTGCGTCTTCTTCATTCTCTCTCTATCTCTCTCTCTATCTAAATCTCTCTCAATTCTCATATCTCTTCGATCTCCTTCTATCTATCCTCTCCAATCTAATCAGATTCGCTCCGTAAACCAATCCGTTTAGGATCCGAGGCGACAGCAGAGGGAACATACATCTTTAATCGATAAGTTAATTGTCGATTAAACCATTGTGTTTCATTCGATAAGGTAATCTATAATCCGATTCGATAAATTTGAACCGAACAGATCGGTTTTCGGTCGGTGTTAGGCTGTGGATACGAGGAATTGAGGTTTAGGAATGGGAATACTGGTTAATGAACCAAAGAGAGTGTAAAAGATGCCAGGTTTAGCGCAGAGAAATGAGCACTACTCTAATGGTTCCTTTGGATTTTGGTCAAAGCATAACGATGATGTTAGCTATAATCAACTGCAGAAGGTACTGGTTTTTGGAATTTTCGTTACGCTTTGTTGTTGACGTGATTGTTTAGTCGTAATGGAATTGAATTGGATTGCTAGGTTTTGTTCTTTCTGTTGTGAATTTTGATCGATATTTATGTATTGGATTGGATCTTGTAGCACAAGTTATTTACTGAGCATGGTTCGGGTGTATTTGTTGTGCGATTGCCGAGCTCGTAGTCTCGTTTTAAATTGGATAAACATGATGTTTTGTCTATCGGACCCACTATAAATTTGTAGCTGCTCTTTTTAGTGCAGTGTATCTCGTTTGTTATGGTTTTTAACCGGTTAACTAGTAGAGATGGCAAGGGTAGGACTCTTAATGTTAACGAGAGTTTAATGACGGAGTGATATCGTGCCATTTCTGCAAAGATTTTGAAATCAGGGTTTTGTTATTGATTTATTTTAACTGAAAGAATGGCATTTTAAGTGCCCTGGTCTGTTTCTGATGGCTTGCAAAAGAGAAGACTAGTCTAGGGGTGAGTCTGCTTATGGTGGCTTTGGAAAGAGAAGGATATACCTGATCGCTGTCAGTAAGGTAGATGCATGGCAACCAAAAATGAAAAGAATCTAAATGCTAATTACTCTAAATTGCCATCTTCACCCTAGTAATGGGCACAAATTATGGAAACCTGAATTGTTATGTTGACGTGATAAGACTTTTTCCTTAAGCAACATTCCATGTGTATCGGTCGATGAAGGGCGAATAATGCATGCATGAATTGTAAGACGTTGTGGCTTTTATTATCGTGCCCGCCTCTTCTAGTTCATAATAAAGAAGGTTTGTGATTACCAAATAAATAGAATATAGATAGATTAGGAATTTCTTTTGTTCTTACCAAATCCATGGTTGGCCTTTTAGGATCGTAATAATTTATTTGAATGCTTGCTAACAAAGTTTTATGAACTTTTGCAGTTTTGGAGTGAGCTGTCAGTGCAAGCTAGGCAGAAGCTCATTAGGATTGATAAACAAGCCCTATTTGAGCAAGCGCGCAAGAATATGTACTGCTCTAGATGCAATGGTCTGCTGCTTGAAGGTTTTTTGCAGATTGTCATGTATGGAAAGTCCTTGCAACAGGAGGGAGGAGTTGGCAACCTTCCTTTTAACAGATCAGGGGCCTCTAAAAATCAAAATGGTACTGCACCCGTTCTGAATATTGCAAGCCCAGATGAAATACAAGATCCATCTGTCCATCCTTGGGGAGGTCTGACCACAACGCGTGATGGATCACTGACACTTCTGGACTGCTATTTATGCTCAAAGTCTCTCAAAGGGATCCAACATGTTGGTTCTTATTAAATGTTATTTTCTGACATGTGTTAATCGTTTATTATTTACCATTTCAGTACTCAACGCTTTTCTCTTTCCAGGTGTTTGACAGTGCACGTGCAAGGGAAAGGGAGCGTGAATTGCTTTATCCTGACGCTTGTGGTGGTGGAGGTCGAGGCTGGATAAGCCAAGGAATTGCAAGTTATGGGAGAGGACATGGGACAAGAGAAACATGTGCTCTGCACACTGCAAGGCTTTCCTGCGACACTTTGGTGGATTTCTGGTCAGCACTGGGAGATGAAACTAGGCTATCTTTATTAAGGATGAAGGAAGAGGATTTCATTGAGAGGCTTATGTACAGGTATGTTTTTCAGCAGATTGTCCATCTTCTGTTTATAGCATTCAGTATAATATCAATTAAAGAACAGTTTTTGAACTGTGGGTAATTGGTCAAGGTGCTTTGATTGATTTATTAGATGAATTTGGTTGATATTACCCACAGCTCTCATAATAGCTCTCTTTTCACGAAGAGACTCCATCTGTGAGACTGGGGTTTCTGAAGTTGGTTTGCTTTTGGGTAGATGCTTTGATATATGCAACTTTCATTAGGTTTACTTTGGAATCTTTTTAAGCATGGACATTCTAAGATATTTCTTCACATCCTTTTCCATGCGTATAGCTGTTCTCACCATCCATGTTGGCTTTACTTGATATTTTGTTTTTCTACTCAGTTTCCTTTTCTCGTGTGGCTTTAGAGTTTAGAAGAAAATTGGTTAGAGAAGTGTATGGTTAAGAAGCAGATTCTATTTTCTCTGGGTTATTAGTTTTTCTTCTTTTTCTTTTGAAATAAAACTGTAAAGTGCGATATTAATATGTACACCAAGTGGGTGCCAATCCATATACAAAAGTATTTACAAGCCAATCAATTTATTAATTAGGTCCTCTAAATCCTCCATTGAACGTGGGGAATGACCCAATAACAAAAAATTAAGGGTCTGGAACCATATATTCTTAAATACGTTGAAAATATATTCTTTTGTGTTATTAGTTTGTCTTGTTCTTCTAGATAGTTCACTCTTTAGGTTGATGGTTCTGGAGGCTGAATTCTGGTTGAATTCTAACTTAAGCTGGCATTTGATTATAGAAGCAATGGTTATGAAGAAGATTCCATCTTCTACAGGTGTTATTAGTTTGTCTTCTTTTCTCTGAACAATTCAGTGTTTAAGTTGATGGTTCTGGAGGCTGAAACACAGTTGGATCTTAATGCCCTGATCTAATCATGTAGCTTGTGAATCTTTAGAATGTCCAATTTTTTAGAAATTGAAGCTTTACTTTTTTCCCCTTATTGGGTAGAGTTGGCTAGCTGTTGCAAGGACTACCTATCTTGAGTCATATAACACATATTTTGTGTCTCTCGTTTTTGACTTCCCTATAAACAACTAATTATCATGCTACCAATGTTTGTATGAAAATTTGTTCGACAATGTTCATAGTGACCACATCTTCTATGGGATAGCACAACATTCTTGACTGTTTTTATGGGCCAAGTCTCATGTGATTTTCTGGGGGTTTCTTTATCCACTTTAAAAAGGGACTGGGCTGCTTTATTGTTTTGAATCTACTTTCTTCCTTTTCTTTGTTTCCTTTTTGTGGTGTTTTTTTTTTCTTCTTAGGAGGATTTCTTGTCATCCCAACTTTCTATCCTCTTACTTTATTTAGAAAAAAGCTTGTGTAAAAATCTTGCTAGATTGTTCTATATCCCTTATGAAAATAAATTTTTGTGACAGGTTTGACAGCAAGAGGTTTTGTAGAGATTGCAGAAGGAATGTAATTCGTGAGTTCAAGGAGCTGAAGGAGCTGAAGCGAATGCGAAGAGAGCCTCGATGCACTAGTTGGTTTTGTGTTGCAGATTCGGCCTTTCAATATGAGGTCCTTCTGACATTATGTTTATTAATCTCACAATCTAAAAAAAATTTCTTTATTAGGTTAAGTTTCATCAGGTATTTCATGATAAATCTATATATATTTGACTGGCATTTCAAATATTTTTGCTGTTTTTCAGGTATCTGTGGACACAGTCCTAGCTGATTGGCGCCAAACCTTTGCTGATACTGTTGGAGCCTATCACCATTTTGAATGGGCTGTTGGAAGTGGAGAAGGAAAATCTGATATTTTGGAATTCGAAAATGTTGGCATGAACGGAGGTGGTGAGGTCCATGGCCTGGATCTTGCCGGTTTGAATGCATGTTATATTACCTTGCGAGCTTTTAAACAAGATGGCCGCTGCACAGAACTTTCTGTAAAAGCTCATGCGTTAAAAGGTCAACAATGTGTGCACTGCAGACTGGTAGTTGGTGATGGGTTTGTCTCGATAACAAGAGGGGAAAATATCAGAAGATTTTTTGAGCATGCTGAAGAGGCTGAAGAAGAAGAGGTATTTCTTGTTTTCCAGAGGGTAGCAAATGGAGCCCATTTCTCTATGCGCTTTAAAGCCTCATTTAATTTTGTCTTCAGGACAAGTAATTACTGACTTCAATATTCTTTTTGATGGTTCTTTATTTATTTTCTACACTTTCAGGATGATGACTCCATGGACAAGGATGGGAATGAGCTAGATGGAGAATGTTCCCGTCCTCAAAAACATGCGAAGAGTCCTGAGCTTGCTCGAGAATTTCTTTTAGATGCAGCTTCTGTTATCTTCAAGGAACAAGTATGTTGTCTTTGGTTGTATTTTTATCTCCGCAATGTGCTTGGTGTTCTTTCCAATAGCTTATTTCGTGATATAAGTTAGGGATCTTGTTGCTGTGAGATTTGAAACCTGTTATACAGTAACACATGTATATGGTGTGGATTGCATAAAGCAAAGAATGGTGAAGGAAGCATCTCATGGCTGATTATATAGTCTGTCGAGTGTACAAATGGAACAAGAAATGAAGAAGCGGTAGACTTAAATTTATGTAGTTTGTGCATATACTAAAACGTGGGATAGAGTTGAGGGAGCAGTACCTGATATTAATCATACTTGGGGAACATAGAAAGAGCTTAGTCACAGGACTATGCAAGATGGATAAGCGGAGAAATAATAGTAGTAAATGTTAATCTCACATGGCTATAGATGTCTTTTCAGAGAAGTCTGGTGACTGTGTTAAACCCAAGGCTTTTTGCAGCCAGGGCCAAGAATTTCATGTTTGCTTATTTGGGGTCCAATTACTTCCTCTTTTTCACGAAGGGGTTAAATCCCTTTTTCTGAAAGGTTGTATGGCATAAGCGCATATGATTCTTTCGTTTTAGTATGCGAATGAATGAGGATTAGATAACTCTCTAACTTATACACCAGTTCTTTCATTTGCATGCTTCAACTAACAGCTGGCTAAAGAATAAAGGGGCATCATTTCGAGTTACTTTTAGTGTTACCAGGTCACTAGTATGAATTCTGTAATAGGTTGTACTATGATCTGATATCTCTCTTTCATTTTTTCTAATACAACTGTGTTTACAAGAATGCAAATAGAACTTTAAGATATTCTTTCTGGTGTATTGTTCAGGTTGAAAAGGCCTTTAGAGAAGGAACCGCACGCCAAAATGCACACAGCATCTTTGTTTGTCTTGCCTTAAAATTGCTGGAAGAACGAGTTCATGTTGCATGCAAAGAGATCATCACCTTAGAAAAGCAGGTCTTTAGTTGTGGTCCTATCTGTGAGGTGTCAATGAGAATAAGGTACTATCTTATCTATTTGAGTGCACTTTTTCTAAAACCTATGTGATCTTATCCCGCAGATGAAACTTCTTGAAGAAGAAGAGAAGGAAAAGCGTGAAGAAGAAGAGCGAAAGGAGAGGAAAAGAACAAAAGAAAGGGAGAAAAAGCTCCGAAGAAAAGAGAGATTAAAGGGAAAAGAAAGAGATAAAGAAAAGAAGTGTCCTGAATCAAATGATACTCCTCTTCTTACTGATGTCTCAAAGGAAGAATCATCACCAAATGTTGATGAACAACCAAGCAATGCTATCGACTGCGAGGACGTGGCAAATGAAACTAGTGATATTCTCAGGCCTGGATCTCCTGATAATGAATCAGAAGAGTTCTTGAATAGGCATACCCCTCCTAGAATGCAGAACCACTCTTATGATAACCCTGATGGTGAAGCTTCCAATATCAAAGATGGTAGTGGCTCATTTATGGTGGAGCAATCAAAATTTTCTCAACGGAGATTAAGATTTGGGAAAGAATTTCAGCTTGATTCATCACTGAAGTGGTCTGATAGGCGTCGATTCTCAGAGAGTTCTTCTCTGGTCAATAGATCTGAGTCAAGATATCAAAACGATAATTTTGAGATTCCTTCCAGAGGCTTCAGTGGATTGAATAGACAAATGAGGATAAATGCTGTGAAGCCCAATGGTCGAAATAGCATTAAGTTTAATGAGAAGTTCCAATGTGCAGGCAACAGGATGGGTGACCGGTATGACTTTCATTCTTGCAGCTGTAATCAACACAGTGAGTATAGAGCAAAGGTTGACCCACATGTTTCTACAACTAGACTCATTCGAGAGCCCAAATCTGTGAGTAAATCAGAGTCAGCATCGGACATGTCCAAGCAAGTGTACAGGGGTAACAGGTATAATCAAACAGATTATATGCGTGAGAGTTGTGGAAGAGCCAAAAGCAAAATCGTAGCAGGAAGCAACTCTTCCAGCCGAGATTCACCTTATTTGAAGAAAGTTTGGGAGCCCATGGAATCACAGAAGAAATACCCTCGCAGCAACTCAGATTCTGATGTCACATTGAGACCATCTACTTTTAAGGTTGAAGGAGTTGCACCTGGTAATAATGTTGTTAATTCAACTGGTGAGGTGTCCTCCATTGAAGCTACTGCAAATTCGGGAGAAATTCATAAGGGAAATATCAATATAAAGAAATCAAGAGACTCTAGCATTCTGAAAGAAGAAGATTACCAGGATGAACTTACCATGCAGGTTAAGGATCACTGCTACTCGAAGGAATTGGCTAATGAGGAAGTTGGATTATGTTCCACTGGGAATTCTCTCTTGAATGGAACATCGGATGCAATAGTTGGTAATACTTCCAATTCTGATAATTGCTCTTCCTGCCTTAGTGAAGGAGATAGCAATACAGCATCCTCAAATCAGGGAAACCCGGATTCGTCATCAACATCGGATTCAGAAGAGGCAAGTCAACAATCAGAAGGGAGAGAGATATCGATGTGCACTCAAAATGTGTTCCCTGAATGCCATGAAAAGGACATGGAGAAAAGCCAAAGTACAAAAGAAAGAGTACATTCAGGAATGAGGAATTCCTCTGGCCTTCCACCAGATAATACAGGAAGCGAAGTCTTGGGAGATCTGAGACTCGCCCAAATTTCCGATAATGGAATATCCAGCACCAATATTGGTTCTCAAAATCAAGGCCCATACCCGGCCATGCCAAACCAAAACATACGGTTTCCAGTTTTTCAAGCTCCTTCTGCAATGGGCTATTACCATCAAAATCCAGTTTCTTGGCCAGGAGCTCCCACTACTGGATTAATGCCTTTTCCCCATCCTAACCACTACTTATATGGTGGACCTCTTGGTTATGGTGTCAATGGAAACTCACGCTTATGTATGCAGTATGGTGCCATGCAGCATGTGCCTACTCCCTTGTTTAATCCCGGGACAATTCCAGTTTATCATCAAGTTGCCAAAACCAACGGATTGAACACAGAGGAATGGGCTAAGATTTCTAAGCCAGGAGTGACACAAGAGACTTTTCAGGAAGGTAACACAGAGAAGGTGGTTATGTCCAAGCCGCAACACACAGAAGAAGTCCCAGCAAGGGGAGGTGGGCAAATCAATAACTCTGGCAACCTGGATGTGGGTAACAATGCTGGCTTTTCCTTGTTCCATTATGGTGGGCCTGTGGATCTTAAAACAGGGTGTAAATCAAATCCATCGCTTTCCAAAGACGAGATATTAGGTGATTTTTCTTTGCAGTTTTCGGCAGATCACGTGGATAAGAATCATGCTTGCAATAAAAAAGAGAGTGACATCGAGGAGTACAACTTGTTTGCAACAAGCAACCGGTTTTCGTTCTTCTAGAAAACATTGCTCCAGAAGGTGTGAGGGGACTGTTTTGAAATCCGGTTGCTGTCTTGTTCATTTGGGAATATGAAAGTTTGAGGTTATTTTGTAAACCGAAACAGAATAATCTTCTTCTGTTTTTTTTTTTTTTTTAAAAAGTTCGAGTTTAGCTTATAGTCGGGTCTGGTAGTCGTTTTTATCCAATTTGTCTCATTGTTTCATTTAATGTAGAGAAATGAAAGGTTGGAAGGGTGCGACAGTACTTGAAAAGGGTTTCTGTATTTGATCAGTTTTTGATCGATGAAGCATATGCCAGTATGAAATTTTTGTTTTTTATTCCAACCAGGTTTGTCAAGGTTTATATCAATCTGAATTCATGAACTGAAATGGTCCCATGTAAGTTGAATGCGCAGCTTGCTTTCTGATAAACAGCCTGGTGGTTGTTGCTCATAATATTCTCTGCCGAGCTTCTTAAGCTCTTACTTCTATCTGTCATAAATTTATTATTATTTTTTCTTTCTCTGAAATTTAGTTGTAAGCAAACTTATAATCAATTGAATTGAAACCATATCTGGTTCTGGTTTGAAGTAAAATTAAAATTCAATAATTATTTGTAGAATATAATCTAATAAATTGTCTGGGCCAAAACCATCTTCTATTGGGCCAAGTTTTGAATCCCACCCAGAAGCTCAAATCCTCCTGCCATGCAACAATCTGAGTCCCAAACGAGTTATTATAAAAATCGAAAGGTAGATCAGCTCTGCATTTCTCCAAGATCTCAGCCCCCGAGTAAATCACTCTCTCTTACCTCTCCAATGGCGACCGCGACCCCGTTATTATCGTCCTCTAAATACTCCGACAGCCTCACGGTGGTTGCGATTTCCTTCTGCACCGCCGTTGTCTGCGAAGCCATCTCGTGGGTTCTCATCTACCGCACTAACTCCTACAAGTCCCTCAAATCCTCCATCGATAAAGCCGCGAAGAAGCTGGAGACTATGAAAACCGAGAACCCGTCAAGTAAGCTAAACAGCAAGAAGTCAAAGACGAAGAAAATCGACCGGGTTGAGTCCAGCCTCAAGGAATCGAGCCGAGATTTATCTATGTTCAAGTTCAAGTCAGGTGCTGTCGTGGCTTTGGTTCTTTTCGTTGTTTTCGGGTTGTTGAATTCTCTGTTTGAAGGAAAAGTTGTAGCTAAGTTGCCCTTCAAGCCTATTGGGATCGTGCGGAAAATGAGCCACAGGGGATTGCAGGGTGATGATCCAACAGATTGCTCGATGGCCTTCTTGTATTTGCTTTGTTCGATTAGTATTAGGACTAATTTGCAGAAGTTTTTGGGTTTTTCACCGCCCAGAGGAGCTGCAGCTGGTGGTGGATTGTTCCCCATGCCGGATCCCAAGACGAATTGATTAAGGCTTTGTTCTCGTCTTTTTCAGGGTTTTAAGGAACCTGGGTAAGCCCTTGTACGATGACTATGATTCTCTAATGAGACGTAGGACTTAATTGAATTTATAGCATATTTTGATTGACATGTCGAACTGGTTGGGAATTTCATTGTTGTTTTCGCATCTTAATAAGAGAAAATCTGCTGATACATCACGGACATTATTCCTGATTTATAGTATATAAACTTTTGCAGTTTCTGGAAATTGAATTATCCGAATTATGTTAGCTTTGGTACCCTCTATGGAGTCTTAATCATGTGATGAAAGCATTTATTTTCAGTGGCAGATATCTTAGTATCAGCTGGCAGGCAAATAACCATCTAGCTATTTGTAGGGGAGTTCAAGGGCTTAGATTATCTTGGAGCAGAGCTACTTGGCTAAGGATCTCTTGACTGCTAAATTCAAATATGCCATATTTGCTAGAATGTGCTTGTTTTACCATTTTGATTAGGGGCTATTAATTTAGTTACTTTGGCCTTTCCAATTAGTGTGGAAATCCCTTAAAAAAAGAAAATTCCGTATAGAATTTATAAGTTGATTCAGTTACTGGTCATTGCATTTCTTGTAAAAATGAACTTAAAAGTTTTTACTTTCCTTACTTCTTTATAGTCTTGATTCCAAAGTTTGGGGCTCAATCCCTAGATCCCACAAGTGAATAGAAAGTTAGATCTAAATTGGGTCTCACCTGAATCGCTTCATCTATCATCCTAAGGAGAAATTTGGTTCTAAATCCCAGTTCGAACAGGAGAAGTGCGCTATCCTAATATGTCTTGAATGGTCCCTATCTCACGGTCAAATGCTGATGAGCACGTTGAGCTATCCATCTGGCTGAGATTGTCTTTTTTCTTGCAGTGGAATGG